TCCTGTGGAGTCTGCCGTGCTCCTGTGTGGTCTGCCGTGCTCTTGGGGTCTGCCGTGCTCATTTGGGATTTGCCGTGCTCATGTGGGGTCTGCCGTACTCCTGTGTGGTCTGCCGTGCTCCGGTGGTCTGCCGTGCTCCTTTGGGGTCTGCCTTGCTCCTGTGGGGTCTGCCGTGCTCCTGTGTGGTCTGCCGTGCTCCTGTGGTTTGCCGTGCTCCTGTGTGGTCTGCCGTGCTCCTTTTGGGTCTGCTCTGCCGTGCTCCTGTGGGGTCTGCCGTGCTCCTGTGGGGTCTGCCGTGCTCTTGTGGGGGCTGCCGTGCTCTTGTGTGGTCTGCCGTGCTCCTTTGTGGTCTGCCGTGCTCCTGTGTGGTCTGCCGTGCTCCTGTGTGGCCTGCCGTGCTCTTGTGTGGTCTGCCGTGCTCCTGTTGGTCTGCCGTGCTCTTCTATGGTCTCCCGTGCTCCTATGGGGTCTGCCGTGCTCCTGTGGGGTCTGCCGTGCTCATGTGTGGTCTGCCGTGCTCCTGCGCGGTCTGCCGTGCTCCTGTGGCGTCTGCCGAGCTCCTGTGTGGTCTGCCGTGCTCCTGTGGTCTGCCGTGCTCATTTGGGGTTTCCCGCGAGCTTGTGGGGTCTGCCGTGCTCCTGTGGGGGAAACGCCAGCGGCGTTCGGGGTACAACAAAAGGAGCGTTTATGTTGTACCTGCGCGCGGTCTGCCGTGCTCCTGTGGGGATTGCCGTGCTCCTGTGTGGTCTGCCGTGCTCCTGTGTGGTTTGCCGTGCTCCTGTGGTCTGCCGTGCTCCTTTGTGGTTTGCCGTGCTCCTGTGGGGTCTGCCGTGTTCCTGTGGGGTCTGCCGTGTTCCTGTGAGGTCTGCGGTGCTCTTGTGTGGTCTGCAGTGCTTCTGTGTCTGCCGTGCTCATTTGGGATCTGCCGTGCTCGTGTGGTGTCTGCCCTGCTCCTGCGGGATCTGCTGTGCTCCTTGTGTCGTCTCTTTGGTCTGCCGTGCTCGTGTGGGGTCTGCCGTGTTCCTGTGTGGTCTGCCGTGCTCCTGTGGGGGCAAACCAGCAACACGTGAAGAAGTTATCCTGACGGGGCAAACCAGCAACACGTCAAAGGTTATCCTGAGGGGGGCAAACGAGCAACACGCCGTGAAGGTGCTGAGGTGGTCGACCACCAACACTTCAATAAGTTACCCTGAGGCAAAACCAGCCACTCGCCAAGAAGTCATCCTGAGGGGGCAAACCAGCAACACGTCAAGAAGGTGCTGAGGGGACAAACCAGCAACACGTCAAGAAGGTATCCTGGGGGGGGCAAACCAGCAACACGTCAATGCGGTATCCCGAGGGGACCAAACCAGCAACACCACTGCCGTGCTCCTGTGTGGACTGCCGTGCTCCTGTGGGGTGTGCCGTGATCCTGTGTGGTCTGCCGTGCTCCTGTGCGGTCTGCCGTGCTCTTGCGGGGTTTGCCGTGCTCCTGTCGGCTCTGCCGTGCTCGTTTTGGGTCTGCCGTGTTCCTGTTGGGTCTGCCGTGCTATTGTGTGGTCTTCCGTGCTCCTGTGTGGTCTGCCGTGCTCCTTTGGGGTCTGCCGTATTCGTGTGGGGTCTGCCGGGCTCCTGTGTGGTCTGCCGTGTTCCCTTTGTGGTCTGCCGTGCTCCTGTGGAGTCTGCCGTGCTCCTGTGTGGTCTGCCGTGTTCCTTTTTTTCCGCCTGCCGTGCTCCTGCTCATTTTCTGAGGACGTCCCGAGCGAAAACGTCATTTTTAACATAAGAGGTTGTAAAACACCTCTGTCGGCATCTCATTTTTTCGAGGATGTCTCGAGCGAAACGCTCATTTTTCATCATAACAAAAATTTTTCATATTTTTCAACATCCCGATTTTTTGAGGATGTCTCGAGCGAAACCTTCATTTTTGACATACGACGTCTTGAACGATAGTCTCCAACACCTCGATTTTTCGAGGATGTCTCGAGCGAAATGGCCATTTTGGGGAATCCGCCAACGAACGGCCCCGTGCGCCCCCGCAACCCATAGATATAAAGATATATATTTATTTACTCAAGGATTCAGCCAGAACGTCCCGCTTGCTTCTCGTACCTCGAAGACGCTTCCCGTCAGTTCTTTTGGGGTCTGCCACACTCATCTTTTGGGGTCTGCCGTACTCATTTGGGGTCTGCCGTGCTCCTGTGCTCGGCCGTGCTCATTCGGGGTCTGCCGCGCGCCTGTGAGATCTGCCGTGCTCCTGTTGGGGAAACGCCAGCGGCGTTCGGGGTACAACAAAAAGGCGCGTTTATGTTGTACCCGCGCGCGGTCTGCCGTGTTCCTGTGGGTTCCGCCGTGCTCCTGTGGCGTCTGCCGTGCTCCTGTGGCGTTTGCCGTGCTTCTGTGGTCTGCCGTGCTCCTTTGTGGTCTGCCGTGCTCCTGTGGAGTCTGCCGTGCTCCTGTGTGGTCTGCCGTGCTCTTGTGGTCTGCCGTGCTCATTTGGGATTTGCCGTGCTCATGTGGGGTCTGCCGTGCTCCTGTGTGGTCTGCCGTGCTCCGGTGGTCTGCCGTGCTCCTTTGGGGTCTGCCTTGCTACTGTGGGGTCTGCCGTGCTCCTGTGTGGTCTGCCGTGCTCCTGTGGTTTGCCTTGCTCCTGTGTGGTCTGCCGTGCTCCTTTTGGGTCTGCTCTGCCGTGCTCCTGTGGGGTCTGCCGTGCTCCTGTGGGGTCTGCCGTGCTCTTGTGTGGTCTGCCGTGCTCTTATGTGGTCTGCCGTGCTCCTTTGTGGTCTGCCGTGTTCCTGTGTGGTCTGCCGTGCTCCTGTGTGGCCTGCCGTGCTCTTGTGTGGTCTGCCGTGCTCCTGTTGGTCTGCCGTGCTCTTCTGTGGTCTGCCGTGCTCTTCTGTGGTCTGCCGTTGTTCGGCCGTCTTGAGGGCACTCTTAGGGCATAGTCTGCCGTGCTCCTCGTCTTGGTCTGCCGTGCTCCTCGTCGTGGTCATCCTTTCCGTCGTCTTGAGGGCGCTCTTGGTGCCTGGTCTGCCGTGCTCCTCGTCTTGGTCTGCCGTGCTCCTCTCGGTTTCAGTGCCTGGTCTGCCGTGCTCCTGTGGGAGCACGGCAGACCACAGGGCACGGCCGACCACACAGAGCACGGCAGACCACACCCTCTATTTTAGGAGGAATGTTCTCGAGCGAAAAGTGCCGTGGTCTGCCGTGTGCTCCTGTGGGGAGCACGGCAGACCACAGGAGCAAGGCAGACCACACAGGAGCACGGCAGACCACACAGGAGCACGGCAGACCACACGTTCGCACGGCAAACTCCACAGGAGCACGGCAGACACCAAAGAAACACGGCAGTGGTGTTGCTGGTTTGGTCCCCTCGACGTGTTGCTGGTTTGCCCCCCCCAGGATACCTTCTTGACGTGTTGCTGGTTTGTCCCCTCAGCACCTTCTTGACGTGTTGCTGGTTTGCCCCCTGAGGATGACTTCTTGGCGAGTGGCTGGTTTTGCCTCAGGGTAACGTGTTGAAGTGTTGGTGGTCGACCACCTCAGCACCTTCTTGGCGTGTTGCTCGTTTGCCCCCCTCAGGATAACCTTTGACGTGTTGCTGGTTTGCCCCGTCAGGATAACTTCTTCACGTGTTGCTGGTTTGCCCCCCTCAGCATCTTGTGGACCTGTGGCTGGTTTGCCCCCTCAGGATAACTTCTTGACGTGTTGCTGGTTTGCCCCCCCCAGGATAACTTCTTGACGTGTTGCTGGTTTGCCCCCCAGGATAACTTCTTGACGTGTTGCTGGTTTGCCCCCCTCAGCACCTTCTTGACGTGTTGCTGGTTTGCCCCTTCGGGATAACTTCTTGACGTGTTGCTGGTTTGCCCCCCAGGATAACTTCTTGACGTGTTGCTGATTGGTCCCCTGGGTAACTTCTTGACGTGTTGCTGGTTTGCCCCCCAGGAGCAAGGCAGACCACACAGGAGCACGGCAGACCACTTTGCGATTTTCTGAGGATGTCTCGAGCGAAATGACCGTGGTCTGCCGTGCTCCACACGTCAGCACGGCAGACCACCTGCTCATTTTCTGAGGACGTCCCGAGCGAAAACGGCAGACCGCGCGTAGGAACCGAGAGGAGCACGGCAGACCACACCTCGATTTTTTGAGGATGTCTCGAGCGAAATGGCGGTGGTCTGCCGTGCTCCACACGGGAGCACGGCAGACCACCTGCTCATTTTCTGAGGACGTCCCGAGCGAAAACGTCATTTTTGACATAAAAGGTTCTGAAACACCTCTGTCGGCATCTCATTTTTTCGAGGATGTCTCGAGCGAAACGCTCATTTTTCATGCATAACAAAAAATTTTGATTTTTTTCAACATCCCGATTTTTTGAGGATGTCTCGAGCGAAACCGTCATTTTTGACATAAGACGTCTTAAACGATAGCCTCCAACACCTCGATTTTTCGAGGATGTCTCGAGCGAAATGGCCATTTTGGGGAATCCGCCCATGAAAAACCCCGTGCGCCCCCGCAACCCAGAGATATAAAGATATATATATATATATATATGTATATATATATATATATATATTTACTCAAGGATTCAGCCAGAACGTCCCGCTTGCTTCTCGTACCTCGAAGACGCTTCCCGTCATCCGCCAGAGCACGGCGGAACCTGGAGCCAGGGAGACGACGAAACATCGTCGCCTTGGTTTTCCTCGTCCTCGTCCTCGTCGTCTGGGCTCGTCCTCGTCGTCCTCGTCCTCGTCCTCGTACGTTGAAGGTCTGGGCTCGTCCTCGTCGTCTGCCCCCGGCCAGCCAGCCCCCCGGCCGCCGGCGCGTCTGCCCGCGTCGTCCGCCGCGAGGACGGGCAGCTCTTCGCCCTCAAGCGGCAGCTGCTCGGCGACGCCGCGAACGACGTGGTGCCGGTGCTGCGCGAGACCAGCATCCTGAACGTGCTGAAGGGCGCCTGCTGCGTGGTGCAGATCGAGGATGCCGCTCTCCTCATCGAGGAGGCGGAGGCGGAGGAGGAGGAGGAGGAGGAGGAGGAGGAGGAGGAGGAGGGGGAGGAGGAGGAGGAGGAGGAGGAGGAGGAGGAGGAGGAGGAGGAGAGGAGGAGGGGGGGAAGGAGAGAGGAGGAGGAGGAGGAGGAGGAGGAGGGGGAGGAGGATGCGCGAGGATGGGCTAGTTGTTGTTTGTTGGGAGGAGGAGTACGCCCCCACAATGGAGGATGTCGTTTTCGCTGCGGGAAATGCCCCCTTTGAGAGAGGAGCGCCCGATGGGCTGGCAATTCAGGCGAGAGCCCCCTTTTGAGAAGGAGCTGCCATCCGTGCTTCTGCCGGGAAGGACGGCGACGAGGTAGGATCATCATAAGGTTCAAGGAAGTGTTGTGCGAGAGCCCTTTACGAGAGGAGCAGCCCGCAGCCCATGCAAATCTACTCCGATGTTGAGCGTCTGGTTGCAAAGCGAAAGGACATCTCAAACGAGAGCCCTATTGGGAAAAGGGTCCGCCCTCCGTCCGTCCGCGAAGCTGTCGTTCAATTCAGGTACTCCAGATTTCGTAATACAAGGGAGGGGGTCTCATTTCGGGGGGGGGTCTCTTCCAGGCTATCTTGGAGGGCCTGGGGGGGTCTGGGGACGATGTTTTGGAGGGTTCTCCCACGGGGGAGGTCTGAAATTGCTTGTCTTGGAGGGTCCAGACCCCCTCCCTTTTATTACGAAATCTGGAGTACCCGGTCACAAAGACTGAGGAAGTCTAGCACGAACGTTTTGGTTTGAAAAGGAGCCGTCCTCCATCGGTATAGCTGTGGGAGCTTTTGCGACGGTATGTGCGCGGCGCCAGGGAGCGAGCCAGATTGGAGAGGCCTGACGGCCGGTGCCGCCGACCCTGATCGAAAGGGCTAGGAGTGGGGGGAGGAAGCGGAGGATGAGGAGGAGGAGGAGGAGGAGGAGGAGGACGAGGGGGAGGAGGAGGAGGAGGAGGAGGAGGAGGAGGAGGAGGAGGAGGAGGAGGAGGAGGAGGAGAGAGGAGGAGAGAGGAGGATGAGGAGGAGGAGGAGGGGGAGGAGGAGAAGGAGGAGGAGGAGGAGGACGAGGAGGAGGAGGAGGAGGAGGAGCAGATTTTCACAAGGAGCCGCTCTCCAGCCCGGTGGCCGTGGAACCTTCGACGAGCGTGCGCGGCGCTCCGGCGAGAGCCGCCTTTGGACCCTCCCCCATCCATCCCTGCTGCTCTTGGACGCTCTTGAAGCGACCCCCTCCTCCTCCTCCTCCTCCTCCTCCTCCTCTTCCTCCTCCTCTTTCTTGAGGGATGCTCTTCTGGCCCAGGTCGGACTTTGAGTCCTCTGGACCCTCCCCCTCCATCCTTGCTGCTCTTGGACGCTCTTGAAGCGACCCCTCCAAGACGGCTTCCAAGACAGCCAGGACGAACACGAAACGGTTCAAGATGGCCCAAGGCAGCTGAAGAGCCTCTCTAGAGAGCCTCGAGCCCAAGAGGGCCTAGAGGCTTCCAAGACGGCCCGAGAGAGCTCAGGAGAGCTCCAACAGGCCTTCCTGGAGAGCCCGAGGGGGGCCTACACCACTGAGTTTCCTCATGTGTTTGAAGGATGTTGAGCATCTGGACCCTCCCCCTCCATCCCTGCTGCTCTTGGACGCTCTTGAAGCGAATCGTGCCCCTTGCTACTCTTGGAAGCATCTGGACCCTCCCCCTCCATCCCTGCTGCTCTTGGACGCTCGTGAAGCGAATCGCGCCCCTTGCTACTCTTGGAAGCATCTGGACCCTCCCCCTCCATCCTTGCTGCTCTTGGACGCTCTGGAAGCGAATCGCGCCCCCTTGCTACTCTTGGAAGCATCTGGACCCTCCCCCTCCATCCCTGCTGCTCTTGGACGCTCTGGAAGCGAATCGCGCCCCTTGCTACTCTGGGAAGCATCTGGACCCTCCCCCATCCATCCCTGCTGCTCTTGGACGCTCTGGAAGCGAATCGTGCCCCTTGCTACTCTGGGAAGCATCTGGACCCTCCCCCTCCATCCCTGCTGCTCTTGGACGCTCTCGAAGCGAATCGCGCCCCTTGCTACTCTGGGAAGCATCTGGACCCTCCCCCCTCGTCCTCCATCCCTGCTGCTCTTGGACGCTCTGGAAGCGAATCGCCGCCCCTTGCTACTCTTGGAAGCATCTGGACCCTCCCCCTCCATCCCTGCTGGCTCTGCGCTGCTCTTGAAGCGCCCCCTCCTCCTCCTCCTCCTCCTCCTCCTCCTCCTCCTCCTCCTCCTCCTCCTCCTCCTCCCCCTCCTCCTCCTCCCTCCTCCTCCTCCTCCCCCTCCTCCTCCTCCTCCTCCCCCTCCTCCCATGGGGGGCCGACCCGCCCGCCCGCACCGCCGAGCCCGGCGGGCTCTCCCCGGGGGGGCCGCGACGGCGGCCGGGTCCCGCCCCCCGCGCGGGGCCCGGGCGAGGGCGACGCCTCCTCCCGCCAGCGCGCGGCCCCGCTCCTCCTCCTCCTCCTCCTTCTCTCCTTCTCCTCCCTCCTCCTCTCCTCCTCCTCCTCCTCTCCTCCTCCTCCTCCTCCTCCTCCTCCTCCTCCTCTCTTCCTCCTCCTCCTCCTCCTCTCTCCCCCTCCTCATCCTCCTCCTCCTCCTCCTCCTCCTCCTCCTTCCCCTCCTCCTCCTCCTCCTCCTCCTCCTCCTCCTCCTCCTCCTCCTCCTCATCTGTCACCTCCCTTGTCCGCGGGGGCCCGGGTGGGCCCTTGGGCCCCCTCTGGGTGCCTCTCGGGGGTGCATCCCCTTGCTGTTTCGGGGCTTCGCTCTGTCCTGGGCGGGGGGCGCGGTGCCCGCCGCGGACCTGCCTGCCGCGCTGTAGGGACCTCCCCGGCGCGGCGCTGCCCGTTGCCCTTTGCCCTCTCTCCTCCTCCTCCCCCTCCTCTCCTCCCTCCTCCTCCTCCTCTTCCTCCCCTCCTCCTCCTCCTCCTCCTCCTCCTCCTCCTCCTCCTCCTCCTCCGCCTCCTCCTCCTCTCTTCTCTATTCTCTCCCCCTCCCCGATGCCTCCCCCCCCCTCCCGCGCAGGAGGGGGGTTCGGGGATCCCGTTGTTCGGGCGCTCTTCCGCGCCTCTTGGGCTCCCTCCCCCCCTGCCGGGCACCCCAGGACGTCGAGCTTCCACCCTGGATTGGTGGTCTCCAAACCAGGTGGTGAGAGACCCGGTGGTGACTCCGATTCCCCCAAAAAATAATTCTGGGTCACCACCGGGTTTGGGGACACGCGGTCGCCACGAGGTTTTGCGTTTCCTGGGCCAGCCAGCGCTCGAAAACCATTACCCAAATCGCCCAAAACTCACCACCGGGTGTTCTCACCACCACGTTTGGGGACCACCAACTGGAAGGACACATGTGGAGTTCGACAGCAGGATGGAGGTCGGACCTCCTCTGGGGGGGGGCGGGGGCTTCGGCCCTCCGTTTTTTTTGCAGCGCCGGGCAGACCCGATGCCCCTGTGGCTGCCTCTCGAAGCCGGCCGCCGAGGATGTGTGACGCAGGAGGGGGAAGCCTCTGTAACGCAACAGCAACAACGACGACGACGACGACGACAACAACAACAGCAACAGCAACAGAAGCAGCAACCATAACAACAACAACAACAACAACCACCACCACCACCACCACCACCACCACCACCATCACCACCACCACAACAACAATAACAACAACCACAACAACCACACCAACAACAACAAGCACCACAACAACAACATCAACATCAATAGCAGCAACAGCAACAGCAACAGCACCAGCACCAGCAACACCACCACCAACAACATCACTCATTTTAAGACTGTTCGCTCTTATCTGCTCGCGTGTCGTTCAACACGTATACCCCAAAACCTCGATACCCACCCTCTTCGTCTTCGATCGCATCCCCTTGGGAGTATATCTTTCTTACCTGCAACGTGTACTTCGTGCAGCACCTAAGGCAGGGGAAGAGAGGAGGATGGAAGGAAGAGACAAGAGGATGGAGCACGAGAGAGAGTAGCAGGAGGGGGGCCAGGAGCAGAAAACGCGTGGCAGAACCAGACGGGCAGATCGGGCGGGTGGACCCTAACAGGCGGGCCCAGGCGGCCAGGTCGATCGATCAGGCGGGTTGCTGAAGGGTGCGTCCTGCATAAATCGCGAGGAAGCCTTGAGCGACAGCGCGATTCCAAAATTAATCTCGCGAGGAAATCCAGAGCGAGAGCGTGATTCCTTAGTGTCGAGGGCACGGTGCCTGCATCAATTCCAAGGACGTCCCAAGCGACAGCGCGATTCCTGAGTGTCGAAAGCGCGACGCCTGAATCAATTGCGAGGACGTATCAGGCGAGAGCGCGATTCTACGATACATCGCAAGGAAGTCTTCAGCGAGAGAGCGATTCTTCAATAAATTTCAAGGAGGTATCAGGCGGGAGCCGTTGTTGTTGTAAACCGGGGGCCAGAGGCACAATTTGAGCAAGAAGATTTTCCCCCGGTCGAACCACAACAAGCCCCGGGAGGGGCGTTTCAATTTTAAAAACACATATGTTGCACGAATGCGTGAGTCCTGCATACTTCTCCAGGAAGTCTCGGGCGAGAGCGCGATTCTTGAGTAAATGATGAGGAAGTCCCAGGCAAGAGCGCGATTCCTGAATGGCGAGGGCGTGTCGCCAGAATGTATTGCGAGGGAGTCAAAGGCGAGAGCGCGATCCTTTGATACATTGCAAGGAGGTCCCTAGCGAGATCGCGATTCCTCAGTAAATTGCTAGGAAGTATCATGCGTGAGCCGCTGTTTTTGTAAACCGATGACCAGGCGCACAGTTTGAGCAGGAAGACGCTCCCGAACAAAAAAACAGGGTGCGAGCCCCGGGAGGTGCATTGCAATTGAAACAAGCACATATGTTACCGGAGGGAGGGGATCAACAGCTCTTATTCTTCAGTAGTGAGAGTTCAACAAAACCACATGTATTCGATCCTCTGTCTTGATGCCCGCCGCCGCTGTTCGCCGGCGCCAGGACGCGTTTCTCGTGCGGCCGTTCCGCGGCGGCGCGGAGGTCTGGACGGTCCTGGAGTTCCCGGGGCCGCCGCCGCGGCGGCGGCGGCGGAGCGCATGGGGGGGAGGGCACCACGTGTCCTTGCCGGGAGAAGTCCACCTCCCTTCTCCATCTTCCCTCTTCCCCTCCTCCTCCTCCTCCTCCTTCCCCTCCTCCTCCTCCTCCTCGTAGATGTCACGATAGCGCGGATGACCGCGAAGGACTCAACTTCGGCTTGCTGGGACAGATGGGCCCGCGCTGAAAGAGGGATCATGATGGCAACAATCAAATTGTGCTATGGGCTTGTCATACAATGTTAGACGTCCAGTCGTAACATGTACACGTAGATATACATACACACTTACATCTTCGTTTCAACGTACATGTATATGTAAGAATATGCATATACATACATGGCGCTGCAGTGCGGATTGAAGACAGAATTTGGTAAAGTCCAGGGGGAGTATACTAAGGATGACAGCAGTTCTATCTTGAAAGCCTGCGTGCGTGCCATGTTCCGGTCGGGAGATCGGGAATGGAGGTGGAAACGCGCTGCTGTGCCAAGCCGTGCTGAAGAGCGCGTCGAAAGGATGACTCAGGAATTCCCGCCCAGGAAGCCAACCAACGCGTGGATCCGACGCGCCAGGCGCAGCTGCGGAATCAGACGGCCCTGGGGATCACGCGGGCACGAGCCGCGGCGCGGCCGCCGTCTCGGCACGCGTGCGGACCCGTGGGCAAGTGATACACCCGGCATCGCTCGGACGTGTGCATTTTCTCTCGGCGAGAACCATCGAGGACCGTCCTGGACCATCGAGTAAGAGAAAACACGCACGAAACCGAAAACTGCACGGGAAATGCACGTCCGAGCGATGGCAAGTACACAGAATTGTTGAGGTCGCCAGCGAAAGCCAGAAAGCAGCCGGTCGGCGGCGCGCCGGGGGGGGGGAAGTGAGAGGGGCAGGCTTTCCCAGAAGGCGGCGGGGCTTCTTTTAAAACAATGGGGGAAAAACAGAAGAACAAACAAACAACAAACAATGAAAAAAGAGGGCGGCGGGGCTTCTTTTAAAACAGTGGGGGACACAAAAAAAGGGAAGAACAAACAAACCCAAACAAACAACATGAAAAGAGAGGGCTGGGCTTCTCAGGAGCCCCCTGGCCTGCCGAGAGGGCCCTCCGTGGCGTCGGAGAAGTGCTGGAGAGCTTCCCAGGAGGCATCCGAGGGCTCAGGAGGAGGCCGGAGGAGGAGGAGGAGGAGGAGGAGGAGGAGGAGGAGGAGGAGTCCCCCCCAGGGCGCGCCGCCGGGCCGAGCCAGGGAAGTGCTTCGGGCAGCTTGCAGCGAGGAGGTCCAGCGTTGCGAGGAAGGCCAGGGCGGAAAAGTCGTCCAGCAGATGTACGGACAGCACGCGTCAACGTCACGCATACTCCAGATCTCGTAATAAAAGGGAGGGGGTCTGGACCCTCCAAGACAAGCCATTTCAGACCTCCCCCGTGGGAGAACCCTCCAAAACATCGCCCCCAGACCCCCCCAGGCCCTCCAAGATAGCCTGGAAGAGACCCCCCCCCAAATGAGACCCCCCTCCCTTTATTACGAAATCTGGAGTACCCGCGTTCACGCATCCGTGTTCACATATCCACGTTCACGTCAAGGAGTGCAAGACATCTCTCAGTGTTCGCATACCCAGCGGCATCCTGAAGGCGTGGCGCAGCAAAGTATCGCATGCCAGGGCTCCGAGTGGGTTGCGAGCCGGCACCGCCACAATTTTGACATGGCGAGGGGAGCACCGAAGCTGGCTGTCTGGACGTGCGGAATCGGGCGCGCGCGCGCGTGGCCGCGAGCGCCCGGGCCAGGCAAAGGCTCAATCCAGAGCCTTAGGCAATTGCACAGCGCGTTGCGGTGCAAGGCGTGCAAAGTCATAGGAGGTGGTACGAGGAATTCTTTGGGCAGGATTTTCAGATACGACAGTTCTGGATAGGCTACGAGAGACCCACATGGAACGAGAGATTGGGATGCTCTGCGACAGCTGGTACTTCAAAAGTCATGGAAGAACCCGGTACCACAATTTACACCGCCAGGACTGTCACATGCTCTGGGAAAAATGGAATGTCTGAGGCAAGCCCGCCCCTCACACGGATGGTGCCCCAGAGGAGTTTCATTTGCGATCCAAGTGCGTCATTTGTCGTCGTCGGTATCGTCATTCGTCAACGTCGTCGTCATTCGCCATCATTCGTTGTTCGTCGTTTCCAACCGTCGTCCTCGTCACTCGTCGTCGTCATCGCTTGTTGTCGTCGCCCTCGTTGCTTGTCGTTATTGTCGTCGCCACCGCCTCGTCGTCGTCGTCGTGACTCCTGCGATCGTTGTTGTCATCACTCATAGTCGCCGTCGTCGGCATCCCTCTTCTCTCGGCAGTCGTCGTCCTCGTCGTCGTCGTTGCCGTTGTCGTCGTCGTCGTCGTGAATCGTGGTCGTTGGCTTCGTCGTCGTGCCCAGTTCGGTACAGTCCTCACGCGGATCGCACACCACAGGGAATTCAGTTTGCTTCTGCCCCCCCGCTCCATCCCGCTCTACTCGCACTGCTCCGTACTCCATCGATCCCGCGGCGCGCAGCATATTAGAAGAAGGCCACATTCTTCGCTACATGCAGATGCAAACGATCGCCTTTTTCGCCTGGCCAATCGTTTTGGCTGTCGTCATCGTCGTCATCATCATCGTTGTCATCGTCGGCACCGTCGTTGTAGTCGCCGCCGTCATTTTCGTCGTAGTTGTCTTCTTGGTATTTGCCTCATTCGTTGTCGTCGTCGCTCGTCGTTGTCGTCGTCGTCGTCGTCGTCACTCGTCTTTGTCGTCATTAGCTCTCGGCGTCCACGTCGTCGTCGCTCGTGTCGGCAATCGCTGTCGTCGTCGTCCCACGTCGTCATCACTCGTCGGCGTAGTCGTCACTCGTGGTCGGTCGTCATTCGTCTTCATGACCAGTCGTCGTCGTCGGTCGTCGTCGGTCGTCGTCGTCGTCGTCGGCACTCGTCACTGCCAGTCGTCCTCATCGTTATCGTCGCTCGTCGACGTAGCTCGCCCCTCGTCGACGTATTCGTCACTCGTCGTCGCTCGTCATTCGTCGTCGTCACTCGTCTTCGTCGTCGTCGTCGATCGTCACTCGTTGTCGTCGTCATTTGTAAGGGGCCGCTCAGCCTGTCTGTTAGGGTTTGCCCGCTCGCAGTCGTCGTCGCTCCTCGTCGTCGTCACTCGTCTTTGTCGTCGTCGTTGTCGTCGTTGTCTCTCTTCGCCGTCGTTGTCGTCGCCGTCGTTGTCGTCGCCGTCGTCGCTTGTCGTCGTCACTCGTCGTCGCTCGTCATTCGTCTTCGTCACTGGCCGCCGTCGTTAGTCGTCGTCGTTGTCGGCGCTCGTCGTCGCAGCTCGCTCCTCGTCGACGTATGTGTCGCTCGTCGTCGTCGTCGTCGTCGTCGTCGCTCGTCACTCGTTGTCGTCGTCGCCGACGTCGACGTCTTCACTCGTGAGGGGCCTTTCCACCCGACCGTCATGGTCCGCCCGCCCGGCACACCCGTCATGGCCCGCCCGTCCGACCATCCCGCTCAAACCGTCCGTCAAGGCCCTTCCGCCCGCCCGACAGGCCGGCGCGCCTGAATGGAAGCCCGGCTGCCCGCTTTCCTGTCCCGCCCGCCCAACCCGCCCAACCCGTCCGCCCGTCCCGCCCGACCAGTCTGTCTCGCCCGTGCGGGTCGGCCCGCCCGACCCGACCCGCTACTTTGAGTCCGCCTGCCCGACCCATCCCCCTTCTTCCCCGTCCGCATCGATCTCCTCGTCCTCCTCCTCGACCTCCTCGGTTTCGAGGAACACGTTCGCAAGGTCCGTGTCTCGTACAGGTGGGGCCAGCAAGGGTCGTCGAATCGATTTCACCCGAAAGCCTCCCGTGACAAACAAGTTTCGCGGAACCTTGCAGGTGGACTCCCCGAGTTCATCGGGGGAATAAACAGACTTCCCAGCTGAGCTTTTCAGTTGTTGCTCCTCTGCCGCACCCTGGAGAACCGCTCTGGGGGGCGCTTCATGGTAAGGATTCGGGTTGCGCACAGACAGCCCCCCCAGGTACTCCAGATTTCGTAATAAAGGGAGGGGGGTCTCATTTCGGGGGGGGGTCTTTTCCAAGCTATCTTGGAGGGCCTGGGCGGGTCTGGGGACGATGTTTTGGAGGGTTCTCCCACGGGGGGGGGTCTGAAATGGCTGGTCTTGGAGGGTCCAGACCCCCTCCCTTTTGTTACGAAATCTGGAGTAGTCCCGGCTGGCTTCAACAGGGCCCCCGAGTCGTCCGGGGCGGTCTCAACACCCCGACCCTGGGGCGCCGCAGGAGGCGGCGCCATGGTGTTGAGACCGCCCTGGACTACTCGGGGGGCATGTTGGGGCCAGCTGGGACTATTCGGTGGGCCTGTTGAGGCCAGCCAGGACAACCAGGCGGGGCTGTCGGCGCGCTAACCCGAAGGTTGACCAGGACGCATCAGCATCTGCATCAGCATCATCATCATCATCATCATCATCATCATCATCATCATCATCATCATCATCATCATCATCATCATCATCATCATCATCATCATCATCATCATCATCATCATCATCCTCATCCTCATCCTCATCCTCATCCTCATCCTCATCCTCATCCTCATCCTCATCCTCTTCCTCTTCCTCCTCCGCCTTTTCCTCCACCCCGCATCGCCTAGCCCTCCTCCTCTTCCTCCTCCTCCTCCAGCTCCTCCTCCTCTTCCTCCTCTTCTTCCTCCTCCTCCTTCATTCATCCTCCTCCTCTTCCTCCTCCTTCCTCCTCCTCTTCTTCCTCCTCCTTCCTCCTCCTCCTCCAGCTCCTCCTCCTCTTCCTCCTCCTCCTCCTCCAGCTCCTCCTCCTCTTCCTCCTCTTCTTCATCATCAGCATCCGTAGCCATTTTGGTTCGAGCAGCAGCGGCGCGGCTTGGGACGGCGCGGGCGGCGGCCCCCTCGCGGGAGGGCGCCGGCGGCGGGTGCGCTGGGCCCGCGTGCGGCGCGGCGGCAGCGCAGACGTGCAAGCCAGGCTTGGGCACGCTGTTCGGGGGGCGTGCTCGTCCATGACCTGCACAGGGCGGTCAAGTTCCTCCTCCTCCTCCTCCTCCTCCTCCTCCTCCTCCTCCTCCGCGGGAGGACGCTGGCGGCGGCGCGCTGGGCCCGAGTGCGGCGCGGCGGTAGCGCAGACGTGCAAGCCAGGCTTGGGCACGCTGTTCGGGGGGCGTGCTTTGGACGCCCGAGTTATCCGGGGTAACTCGGGTCCGGGGTAACTCGGGTTTGGGTTCCCGAAGAACGAGCCCGAGTTGGCCCTGACCCGAGTCACCCCTGATGATTCGGGGCCCTGGACGCCCGAAATATCCGGGGTAACTCGGGTCCGGGGTAACTCGGGTTTGGGTTCCCGAAAAACGAGCCCGAGTTGGCCCTGACCCGAGTTACCCCTGATGATTCGGGGCCCTGGACGCCCGAAATATCCGGGGTAACTCGGGTCCAGGGTGACTCGGGTTCGGGTTCCCGAAAAACGAACCCGAGTTAGCCCTGACCCGAGTTACCCCTGATGATTCGGGGCTCTGGGTGCTCGTCCATGACTTGCACAGGGCGGTCAAGTTCTGGAGAGGCAGATACGAGAAGCTGGCGGCGGCGCTTGGGGGCCCCTCCACTGCGGACCGCCTCGCGGTGGTGGCGGGGCACCCGCACGACCTGGTCCATGGCAAGGTCGAGTCGCCCGTCGACACGCTGCGAAGAAACGTGGCGCTCCACTCGGCCGTGGTGCCGCTGCCGCTGGAGACGGCCCCTGCTGTCCGCGGGAGCATCGGCCAGGTGGGTGCGCACTGCGACGCGCGGGGCCCCGAGGTGGTGCTGGAGGCCGAGGGTCACCGCGAGGCGGAGGCGAGCGCAGACCCCCCCTCCATGCCACCGGTGCCCCGTTTCCCCTCGCTCGGCGCCGAGGCCCAGGCTGGGGTTCGGGGCGCATTCGAGGGCGGCGATTACGTGGAGCACAACGACGAGCACGACGGGGCGCAGGACGTGGGGCGGTACGACGAGGACGAGTTCAGCGTCGATGCCACGGTCGCGCCCGACCCTTAGAGCGACGGCGACGTGCCGCCCCCTTTGGACACGGTCAACTTCGACCTTTGGGTGCGCTTGGAGGCAGCGGTCGAGGAGCTGTCAGCAGGCACCCCAGAGCGCCGCTGGGAGGTGGCGGTCGCCAACTACATCCGCGTGGATGACCTCGGGATGGCGACCCTCGAGACGTTGAGGTCGGCGGACGATGACTCGATGATGGACGCCGAGATGGAGTGCAGCGAGGTTGAGGCCGCACTCTGGGAGGCTGAGAAGCAGATGGACCTGCTGCGGGGCCGCGGCGAGTGGAGTGAGGCAGGAGCCGTGCGGGCTTGAGCGATCGCCCTTTCATGCCCCTTGCCTTCGTATTGTAATATGTGCATGTTCTATTGCGTAGAGGTGCCCTGTCCTCGCCGGCGCAGCGCTCTCCCAGGCGCGTGGGAGGGGCACCGTTCTTGTGCCGCCTGGCGAAGTGAAGGTGCATGGCGACGCATGTGGGCTCAGGAGGTGCCTGTCAGAGGAGCCTGCCGCTGGCGCGCGCGCGAGAGAGAGAGAGAGTAGCGCGTGCATCGGTGGCACGGCAGTCGGCGGAGAGATGTGGTGGGCGTGAGCGCTTCGGCCCCGACCCCCCGTGGAGAGCAGGATCATCATCAGCAGCAGCATCAGCATCACCATCATCATCATCATCATCATCACCATCATCATCATCATCATCATCATCATCATCATCATCATCATCTTCATCAACCGCATGACCATCATCAGAGCGTGAATTACCTACCCCGCTTTCGCTTCCAGGCAAAACCAAGTCCTACCACGCGCCTCCCCGTCGAGCGGCCTGACCAGTGCGGGCCGTAGTTCGGCATCGCTTGGTAGCTCTTGGAAGCGAGGGTGGTCAAAAGCGGGGTAGGTTCGTTTGCCCCCTACATCCTCATCGTCATCATCATCACCGTCATCACCATGATCACCAGCATCGTCATCACCATCATCATCGTCACCGTCACCAGTAACAGCATCAACATTAGTTCTAGCATTACATTACCGTCGTTATGATCGTCATCATCATCATCATCGTCATCATCATCATCACCATCAGGATCAAGATCGCCACCGCCATCGTCATCGTCATTACCGTCGTCGTCACCGCCACCATCACCATCATCATCACCATTACCAACACCACCATCACCATCACCCATGACCATTCACCACCACCATCATCATCAGCATCATCATCAACGGCGTCATCATCATCATCAGCATCATCATACCCATCATCACCATCATCACAGCCACCAGGATCAGCATAACCATCATCACCATCATCACCATCATCACCACCACCATCATCACCATCACCACCATCACCATCATCACCGTCGTTACCACCACCACCATCGTCACCATCATCGTGATCACCGATGTCATCTTCAACATCCTCATCATCATCACCTTCATCACCACCGTCATCATCATCAACACCATCATCATCAGCATCATCAGAACCATCTTCATGGTCATCATCACCAGTAGCGTCATCACCGTTCTCATCATCATCCCCCTCCTCATTCGTCCGCCTTCTACCTGCCTCCTGCCAGGTTCTTCCCGCACAACCTGGACCGCGTGAAGCACCGCCTGCTCGCGGAGGATCCGGCGCGCCGCGTCATCTTCCAGGCCGCCGCCCCGCGCGGGCGATCGCGGGGCCAATCGGCGGAGCAGCTCGGGGTTCCGTGAGGAGGAGGAGGAGGAGGAGGAGGAGGAGGAGGAGGAGGAGGAGGAGGAGGGGTGAGGAGGGAGGAGGAGGGAGGAGGGAGGAGAGAGGAGGGAGGAGGGAGGAGGAGGGAGGAGGAGGGAGGAGGAGGGAGGAGGAGGAGGTGTATCCCACCCCCGGGGATCCGAGCGTTGCAAGTTTTTTCGCACACTGGGCGTCTTCTCCTGGTGTTTTGGGCCCCGGGGGCCAGCAGGTCGACCGGGCCTGAGAAGTGGTGCAGGAAGACGTGGTCTAGCTCTCGGCTATGTTTTTTTTCACGAGGCTCCATTTTTTCGCGTCGTCGGATCGGACACTCGTTTTTTTTTTTGTGTGTGTGTGTGTGTGTGTGTGTGTTTCCGCTCCTCTTCTCCCCTCTTCCCTATCCCTCCTCCCTCCTTCCCTCTCCTTTTTCCTCCTCCCATTCTCACTCGTTCTCCTCCCTCTCCTGGGGCGCCAATCCAGAGTTTTGCAAGATGGGCAGGCTGATAGACACGGCCTGCCGTCGTGATCATCCCCCACACGCGGGTTACGAATTTTTGATTTTGCCCAAGCATAGGGTTTCTCCGTCAACAATGTCCTTCAACCCCGAGGGACTGTCCAATGGCGGTCCGCCCGTTCGTAGACTTAGAAGCTTGGTCAGTGATCCTCCTTTTCCTCCCCCTCTTCCTCCTCCTCCTCCTCCTCCTCCTCCTCCTCCTCCTCCTCCTCGTTCCACTCCTCCTCTTCCCTCCCTCCTCCTCCTCCTCCTCCTCGTTCCACTCCTCCTCTTCCCTCCCTCCTCCTCCTCCTCCTCCTCCTCCTCCTCCTCCTCCTCTCCTCCTCCTCCTCCTCCTCCTCCTCCTCCTCCTCCTCCTCCTCCCATGATGAGGACGGGCGACGAGGACGCACAGGCCTCGGACGGCCACGTCGACACTCTGCGGGCGGGGCGCGGCCAGCGAGAGCGGCCGAAACCGTGGTGCCGGCCCCCGGGTGATCCACCCCTTTCGCCTCTGGCAGCCCTTGGCCTCCGAGGGCCCCTCGCGAGACCGAGCCGTCCGAGAGGCTTCGGGCCGCCCCCCCCCCCCCCCGCGCGCGAGCCTTGACCACCGCGGTCGGGGTCGGCCGTGCGGTCCGTCCGGGTGCCCTCGGGTGGGGTGCCCGCGAGGCCCAAGCACTGGCCTGGGTGATTTTTCGGGGGGCAGAAGCGGTTTCATTGTAGCGCTGGTCGGACGACCCGATCGGCGTGTTTCAGCTCAAGACGAGCCAGGCCGTGTGCTAGGAGCCACTGAGCACAACGTATGGCTTGAGAGGCTACGAGCTCATCGACGGCACTCTTGCCTTGAGATCCGACGTTGCGAACAAAAGCTGCAACATCGCGAAAAATCACGACCAAAGCCCTGGACCCCATCTTTCTGCGGCAGTCTTCGAGCCGGAGCGATCTGTGATGGCCCTGGGGCCCGAAGCTGGGCGAAGACGCCCAGTGTGCATTAAGTGCGACGCCGGGATATCGGGGCCATCCCCCCAGACCCCCGACGTAATGATTTTTTCATGGCGTCGACCCCCCGAGGTCTCGACCCCTTCCCCGGGACCGGTTTTTCGTCCCGAGTCGTTTTTTGACGCTCCCGAGGGCCGGGAAGGGCCCCCAAAGGCCAAAAATTGTGAAAAACCTCCCGTCGTGATTTTTTCATTACTCGAGGGGGTCTGGGCCTGTAGGGATGATCCCGACATTCCTTCGTGGAGCTGTCGCCTCGGAGCCACACACAACGGGAGCGCCGAGCTGTTGCTACAGAGGCCGGCAGTTCCCCGGCCGGTGGGTTCCAGGCGTCGGTGCTCGGACGCCCGCGGGGAGGGCGCGCGTGCAGTGCGTGCACGCTGAGCCCTGGCGCTGGCCCAGATGCCTCCCCCACAGACCCAGACCCCCTCGAGTTATGAAACAATCACGGCGGGAGGTTTTTCCTTATTTTTGGCCTCTGGGGGCCCTTCCCGGCCCTCGGGAGCGTCAAAAAACGACTCAGGACGAAAAACCGGTCCCGGGGAATGGGTCGAGACCTCGGGGGGTCGACGTCATGAAAAAATCATGACGTCGGGGGTCTGGGGAGGATCAAGAACTTCCACTTCATTCTTAGGGGGCCACGTGCGAACCCCACCCCTACCCCCCACGATTTCCGAGGGGGATGGGTGGGGTTCCCTTCGCTCTGGAGCTCCTGGACAGGGTGAACCCCGCCCCCCCCCCCCTCAGAAATCGGTGGGGGGTAGGGGTAGGGTTCGCACGTGGCCCCCTGAGAATGAAGGGGGAGAGCCTTCGGATCCCAGACCCCCGACGTCATGATTTTTTCATGACGTCGACCCCCCGAGGTCTCGACCCATTCCCCGGGACCGGTTTTTCGTCCTGAGTCGTTTTTTGACGGTCCCGAGGGCCGGTAGGGGCCCCCAGAGGCCAAAAATAAGGAAAAACCTCCCGTCGTGATTTTTTCACGACGCGAGGGGGTCTGGGATTGGAGGTCGAACCTCCGTGTCCACGCTCTGCGATCCTCTGGGCCTGCCCCCCCCCCTCCCCAGCTCGGGCCAGGCGAAAGGGGGGATTGGGAAAGGGGGGGTTACGAAATTTGCTGCATGCAGCTGATTTCGGCCTCACCGAGGGGCCCATTCCTCGATACATGGTCGCCTCCCGGCGCCGGGAGGCGCCGGGAAAATCAGCTACGTGAGCTGATTCTCAAACCCCCCCTTTGCTATCCCCCCCTTTCGCCCGACCCGAGATTGGAGGTCGAACCTCTGTGTCCACGCTTTTGCGATCCTCTGGGTCTGCCCCACCCCCCCTCCCCCGCCCGGGGCAGGTGCTCCTGGGCCTGCACGCGCTCCACAGCGCGGGCCCCGGCTGGCCCGCGGAGAGGATCGAGGGTCGAGGGGCTCAGAGGACGAGGAGGAGGAGGAGGAGGAGGAGGAGGAGGGAGGAGGAGGGAGGAGGAGGAGGAGGAGGAGGAGGAGGAGGAGGAGGAGGAGAGGGAGGAGGAGGAGGAGAGGAGGAGGAGGAGGAGGAGGAGGAGGAGGAGGAGGGGGAAAAAGAGGATGAAAAGGAGGGTCTCGGAAGAAATTAGCGAACATTCATGCCCCTCCTCCTCCTCCTCCTCCTCCTCCTCCTCCTCCTCCTCCTCCGCGCGGCCGTCTTCGCGCCGTCGCGCCGCCTCCTCGGAGAGGGGCAGCCGCGCCGGCCCCGGCTGCGCCTCGCGCGCCGGGCGCCGCGAATTGACGGTGGGTTGAATGAGTTGCACTTCGGCCGCAGTCTTCCCCGCGCGTGCCAGCTTTGAGCTTGGGGAAGAGGGAGGGAGTGTCCATTGATTGTTTCCCTCTGCCGTAGGTTCGCGTCGTGTCGACCAGCGGCGACCCCGCCGCCGACGTTCAACGTTGAACGCCGACGGCGGCCCAGAGTCGATCGATGTTGAACGATCGGACGTTGCGGCAGCGGCCGATCGTTCAAGGTTGAACGATCCCTGCGGTGTCAAAAACCAACGCCGGGGTCGTCACGACACGAACCTGACGTACAGGTCTCGGAAGAAATTAGCGAATATTCATGCCCCCCCAATGGTCAATGTTGGCGGTGGGTTGAATGAGTTGCACTTCGGCCGCAGTCTTCCCTGCGCGTGCCAGCTTTGAGCTTGGGGAAGAGGGAGGGAGTGTCCATTGATTGTTTCCCTCTGCCGTAGGTTCGCGTCGTGTCGACCGGTGGCGACCCCGCCGCCGGCGTTCAAGGTTGAACGCCGCTGCTGGCTGGCTATCCAGAATCGGTCGATGTTGACCGATCTGACCTGTCGGAACCGGCCGATCGTTCAACGTTCAACTACCCTCGCGCTGTCAGAAACCAACGCCGAAGTCGACACGACACGGACCTGCCGTACCGATACGGTTATTCCTTAGGCCTCCCAGATTGGGTCTGAGCTGATGGGGTCGAAGGATCTCGCATCGCCGATGCGGATCGATGTCGATCCCGATGTTTTCCGCGCCGACGTCGCCGATGCGTCGCCGACGTCGCCAGTGCATCGGCGATGCATCGACGATGCGGCACGACGATGCGGCGAGATCCTCTGACCCCATCTACTCCGACCCCATATGAGAGGCCTCTAACTACCCGTCCATCGTTTCGCCGTTTTTGGGCCTCCTGCGAGGCCCCCGTCGCCACGGCTGAATTCGCCTCGAGATCCCGGTTGGAGCGCGCCCCACGAGAGGTCTGGGGAGTAGTGGTATCGGTACCTTTCGATTTTCCCTAGAGAGGAGGAAACCACCCTGGCCCCCATGACCGGCGTTTGCCAGGCAGTCTTGGGCGTTGACTGAAGAGCCCTGCCCTGTTCGGTTCCCTGCGCAGGCGCGCTTGCTCAAGGGCGTCGCTTGTCGGGGTGCTTGTCATGTGGGACGTTTCTCTGCCTTCTGCGGAGGAACAGCTGCATGTTTGAGGCCAGGCCTCAATTTCGCCAAGGAGGATCAATAACCTCCAAAACGGAAGTTCGATGCTCCAGTCTGAGTGTTGTTCACGTTGTGTAGGTTTGTTCCTCCAGAAAGGGAGGTTTTCGATCCTCCAGGCTGCAGTAAGAACACACCAAGAATGGATGAACAGACGGAGCAGAACCGCAGTTCTGAAGGTTTGAGTCAAGGGCAGAAAAAACGCCCCTACCCTGGTTTACGAGGCGCTGTGCGCTGAAACTCCTGTGGGCTGACAGGGTAAGCCCTGCGTGGTGTGCCGCGTCCTGGCGGCTCTAGGCTTTGGGGGGTCCCAGGAGGTTTACAGACCACGCACTTGTAACCCAGGGTAGGGTCGTGTTTTCATCCCTCAATTGAGGGTTCTGTTGTTGGTTGTTTTCTTCTGGCCTCCAGAAAGGGAGGTTTTCGATCCTCCAGGCTGCAGTAAGAACACACCAAGAATGGATGAACAGACGGAGCAGAACCGCAGTTCTGAAGGTTTGAGTCAAGGGCAGAAAAAACGCCCCTACCCTGGTTTACGAGGCGCTGTGCGCTGAAACTCCTGTGGGCTGACAGGGTAAGCCCTGCGTGATGTGCCGCGCCCTGGCGGCTCTAGGCTTTGGGGGGTCCCAGGAGGTTTACAGACCACGCACTTGTAACCCAGGGTAGGGTCGTTTTTTCATCCCTCAATTGAGGGTTCTGTTGTTGGTTGTTTTCTTCTGGCCTCCAGAAAGGGAGGTTTTCGATCCTCCAGGCTGCAGTAAGAACACACCAAGAATGGATGAACAGACGGAGCAGAACCGCAGTTCTGAAGGTTTGAGTCAAGGGCAGAAAAAACGCCCCTACCCTGGTTTACGAGGCGCTGTGCGCTGAAACTCCTGCGGGCTGACAGGGTAAGCCCTGCGTGATGTGCCGCGCCCTGGCGGCTCTAGGCTTTGGGGGGCCCCAGGAGGTTTACAGACCACGCACTTGTAACCCAGGCTGGGTAGTCGAAGGCCAGACTGTCAGACTGGATTGGGCCCCAAGGGCCAATCTGGCCTGGCCATCTTGGAGGATTTGGGTTACTCGCCAGACTGGATTCGCGTTGGCTCCCTCGCCAGATTGCCCCCGCTTGCCAGATTGGGCCTGCCAGATTGGCGCCAGATTGGCTTCGACTACCCAGCCAGGGTAGGGTCGTTTTTTCATCCCTCAACTGAGGGTCCTCCCAAAGCCTAGAGCTTTGGGGGGTCCCCCAAAGCCTCCTGGGACCCCCCAAAGCCTAGAGCTTTGGGGGGTCCCAGGTGCGTTTTTTGGGTAGGGTCGTTTTTTCATCCCTCAATTGGGTAGGGTCGTTTTTTCATCCCTCAATTGGGTAGGTACTCAATTGAGACGCAATTGAGGGATGAAAAAAAAGAACCAAAAACAGGACCCTCAATTGAGGGTAGGGCCGTTTTTTCATCCCTCAACCGAGGGTCCTGCTTTTGGGTTGTCTTCTTCTGGCCTCGGGAGGTTTACAGACCACGCACCTAGGAGCGTGAGGGTTCATCTAAACCTCTTGTAAACGCGATTCCCAGGAGGCTTACAGTGCACTTGTACCCTCAATTGAGGGATGAAAAGACCCTCAATTGAGGGCAGGGCCGTTTTTCCATCCCTCAGCCGAGGGTCCCGGTTTTGGGTTGCTCTCTTCTGGCCTCGGGAGGCCTCTGGGGCCCCTCCCGAGCCTGCAGCTCGGCCCGCGGCACGAGGGCGCGGCTGGCGGCCCAGGGAGAGGGCGGGGCAGGACCCACCACATTGAACGAAGGATTGCAACAAAAACGAAGGATTGCAAAAAAAACCAGGATTGCAAAAAAAAAAACAGGATTGCACAACAAAACATGTTTTTTTTTTTTGCAAAAAAAGACCACCTCAACCCAACCCGAATGCTCAAATTTACCCTCGAGTGCCAGTGGGGGGGGGGTCGGGGAACATCGAGAAAACACCTATGGAACCCTTACCCCCCCCAACCCGAAATTCGGGTCTTCGGGTTGGGTTGGGGTGGTCTGGCAGGTGGTCAGGGCAGGACCCACCCAGAGGATCCCAAACCGTCCAAAGCGGAGGTTCGACTTCCATGCCGTTGGACTTCTTCATATGGTTGAGTGTCTGCACCCTTCCATTCTGGAAGTTGTTCTTTCCAGGCTGCGAGGTCCTCCCGTACATGGACATTATATTCGAACCCTGTGGCCCAAGATGCCCCCCCGAACCCCCGAATTTAATATTGATGGCGTGGCGACGGGGCAGGACCCACCACCAAACCACCCCAACCCAACCCGAAGGCTCGAATTTACCCTCGAGTTCCAGTGGGGGGGGGTCGGGGAACATCGAGAAAACACATATGGAACCCTTACCCCCCCCCAACCCGAAATTCGGGTCTTCGGGTTGGGTTGGGGTGGTCTGGTAGGTAGTCAGGGCAGGACCCACCCAGAGGATCCCAAACCGTCCAAAGCGGAGGTTCGACTTCCATTCCGTTGGACTTCTTCATATGGTTGAGTGTCTGCACCCTTCCATTCTGGAAGTTGTTCTTTCCAGGCTGCGAGGTCCTCCACCCCAAAAACACCCAACAAGAGATCTTCAACCTCCAGAACGGAGGTCTTCGATCCTCCGAGGAGCCTAACATCCGTTCGCGTGGCGAAACGACTGGAAAAGGACAGTTTTTCGCAATTTCGGGCTTGGCCCTATTGCAGGGCCCGACCCCGTCCTTCCTCGCCGTCCTCGTCATCGTTGCTGTCACCCTCATCGTCGCCGCCACCATCGTTAGCGCCGTCTTCGTCTTCGCCTTCGTCATCCCAGCCGCTGCCGCCATCCTCCTCGTCCTAGTCGTTGACGTCGCCGCCGCCGCCATCGTCGTCGTCGGCGTTGTCTTTACCCTCGCCGCCGTCGTCGTCGGTATCGTCGTCGGCGTCGCCTCCGCTGCCGTGGCCGTCGTCAACCTCGCTGCCGCCTTCGTCGTCATTTCGTCGTCATCGTCGGCGTCGTCGACGTTGCAGCGACCAGGGGCTTTGCGGGCGAGAGACGTTCCGTGGTCCGGGTAGGTGATTCCTCAGAGGCTTCAGAACTCTTGACGCAGGTCGAGGAGGATCGAGGATCGACGGTCGAGCCTTGTAGAGGTTGACGCCGCCGTCACCGTCCCCGCCCTCGCCGCTGCCGTCGTCGTCTTCGTCGTCGTCGTCGTCGTCGTCGCCGCCAACGTGGCCACCACGGTCGCCGCCGCCGCCCGAGGCGCGGACATCATCCACCGCGACCTCAAGCCGGACAACCTGCTGGCCCCCCGACACCCCCCTTGTCATCTCGCCCTCCTACACCTTAGGCGATGCTTAAGAAAACTTAAGTTTTCGGCCAGAGTCTCGATTATTCTCATTGTTTCAATGGAAAACTTAATTGTTTGGTAGAAATTGGGTTTTTCTTCAAATTCTGAGACCATGAGTTTCTTCACCCATGATTTCTTAAGCATCTCGCAGGGTGTATGCCTGTGGCCGCCGCTGCCGCCTCAGCCTCGTCATCACTCCTCGAGGGTGCCGCGGAGGCTGGCTGCACACCCGTCCCGGCGGCCCGACCCAGCACGAAGCCGCCAGGGCGGGGCTTCGCGGTTCCCACCACTTGTTTCCAGGCCCAGGGCCAGGGCCTGGACCTGTGGAGATGAAGGACTCCTTGCGTTGCGGGATTCTGTCGACGCCAATCTTGGTTAGGCCTTTGCAGGCTACCGCCAACCTGCGAGGGCGATCCACGATGACGACGATTCGGCGCTCAGCCTTGGTCAGGGCCACCATCACGTTGTCACTTGCGGTTCTTCGCGCCGACAAAGTAGTTTAGGCCGTTGTTGACTTGCATGGTGCGGTTGCATTGTCGTCGAAGGACTCCTTGAAGCATGCTGCTCGAGTGCGCGAATGCCACGCCTGAAGTTTTCCTACACTGCAGCGGTGCAGGAAGCCAGCCCCTCCCCCGCGCCCGCGCCCGCGCGGGCGCTCTCCGCCGCCCCCCCCATCAGAGGGTCAAAGTCCTTCAAGCTGGAGGTCTTCACTAACTTTCAAAGCCAGCCGTCGGCGCTATCGTCCTCCTCCCCCCCTCCTCCTCCTCCTCCTCCTCCTCCTCCTCCTCCTCCTCGTCGTCGTCGTCGTCCCAGCCCTGCGAAATGTTCGTCTGGTCTTGTGTAACTTTCGACTGGCCCGTTTTTCTGGCACACTGCTGTCCCCCCGATCTGCGCAGAGTGTGTGTGCTGCCGTAGAGAAATGCCTTCAAGATGGAGGTTCAACCTCGAATCGAATCTGGAGGCTTTCTTCCTCCACTCCGGTGGTTGTCCCCCTCTAAGTATGGAGGCTCGACTTCCAGAACGGAGGTTCTCGATCCGTCGCCGTCGGCACCATCGTCATCATCATCATCATCATCATCATCATCATCATCATCATCATCATCATCATCATCATCATCATCATCATCATCATCATCATCATCATCATCATCATCATCATCATCATCATCATCATCATCATCATCATCATCATCATCATCATCATCATCATCATCATCATCATCATCATCATCATCATCATCATCATCATCATCATCATCATCATCATCATCATCATCATCATCATCATCATCATCATCATCATCATCCATCGTCGTCGTCGTCGTTGAATATTCATTTCTAGAGATTAATTATTGCTGATCTCTGGAAACGGTTCCGCGCGCTCTCGCCTCGATGCCGGCTACGTTTTCTCAGAAAGCGAGGCTCCCGCTTGAGCGTTGGCTTGAGTGTAAATGTGTGCTCTTGGAGGCCCGGCTACAACGACAACGGCTCCCGCTCGATACGTCCTCACAATTTACCCCGAGACACCCTGGCCAGAGAGGGCACCGAACTCAGCAACGGCGCTCTCGCTCGAGACTTTCTCGCAATTCAGTCAAGTTGGCGGAGGTCCAGCCACGACGACAAGGGCTCTGGCTCGATACTTCCTCACGACTTCCTCCGAGAGCCCCTGGCCAGGAAGGCCCCCGAACTCAGGAACGGTGCTCTCGCTCGAGATTTTCTCGCGATTCAGTCAAATTGGTGGAGGCCCAACTACGACGACAACTCGTTCGACAATACTTGATCAACATGTATTCGCAAAGGCCCTTGCCAGAGAGGCCTCCGAATTCAAGAGTGGCGCTCTCGCTCGAGACTTTCTCGCAAGTCAGTCAAGTTGGCGGAGGCCCAGCCACGACGACAAGAGCTCCTGCTCGATACCTTCCTCACGATTTACTCCGAGAGCCCCTGGCCAGGAAGGCCCCCGAACTCAGGAACGGCGCCCTCACTCGAGTTTTTTTCTCGATTCAGTCGAATTGGTCCAGAGAGGCCCCCGAACTCAAGATTGGCGCTCTCGCTCGAGACCTTCTCGTAATTCAGGCAAGTTGGTGGAGGCCCAGACACGGCGACAAGGGTTCCCGTTCGATATTTCCCCGTATGTATTCCGAGAGCCCCTGGCCAGAGAGGCCCCCGAATTCAGGAACGGCGCTCTCGCTCGAGAGTTCTTCGCACTTCAGTCAGTTGCCGACAAGGAAGATATTCCCCCCTAGAGGGGGTGCAATCGAAGACGAAATGGGTTGGTATCGAGGGTTGGGGTATACAGAATGCAAGACACGCGTGCCAGTGTGAGCGAACAGTCCATAAAAGTAACCAGAGAAAAACCCCAATCAGTGGATGGTTTGAAAATTTGTGATCTGGATATTGAGATCGATTGTGAGATCGGTAGTGAGATCGATCGTGGGATCGATAGTGAGGACGATAGTAAGGTCGACCATGAGACCGATAGTGAAGTCGATTCAGTGAGATCGATTGTGAGATCGATTGTGAGATCGCTCGTGCGATCCATAGTCAGATCGATTGTGAGATCGCTCGTAAGATCGATTGTGAGATCGGTAGTGAAGTCGATGGTGAGGTGGGTAAGGAGATCGATGGTGAGACCGATCGATAAGGAGATCGAGCAAGAACCCGGAAACCCGGGAACCCCGCCGCCCACTGAAATCGTCCCGGAACCAGCAACCGGAAATCCGGGAACCGGAAACCCGACCGCCTACCGGAATCAGCCCGGATTTTTCGCCAAAACTTTCAATGTCCGCAAGGACCCGTTCAGTGCAAGCGCTGATTGGGGAATGATGATCGTCGTCGTCGTCGTCGTCGTCGTGGTCGTCGTCGTCGTCGTCGTCGTCGTCGTCGTCGTCGTCGTCGTCGTCGTCGTCGTCGTCGTCGTCGTCGTCGTTGGCGTCGGCGTCGGCGTCGGCGTCGGCGTCGTCGTCGGCGTCGGCGTCGTCGTCGTCGGCGTCGTCGTCGGCGTCGGCGTCGTCGTCGTCGTCGGCCCTGGGAGCTCTCTGAGGGCGCCGCGATCCTCGTCCCGCGCCGCGGCCCGGGCCCGAGCGGCCGCCCTCCTCTCCGAGGGCGCGGCGCGAGGGGGGGCACGGCGACGACCGCGCGCCGCCGCGCGGGTCGTGGGCCGCGCTTGGCGAGGGCGCGAGGAGCGCGAGGAGCGCGAGGAGGAGGAGGAGGAGGAGGAGGAGGAGGAGGAGGAGGAGGAGGAGGAGGAGGAGGAGGGGGAGGGGGGGAGGGGGAGGGGGAGGGAGGAGGAGGAGGAGGAGGAAGGAGGAGGAGGAGGAGGGAGGAGGAGGAGGAGGAGGAGGAGGAGGAGGAGGGAGGAGGAAGGAGGAGAGGAGGAGGAGGAGGAGGAGGAGGAGGAGGGCGCGGGCGCGGGGGAGCGCGGAGCGCGGAGGGGCCGCGCGCCGCGGCGAGGAGGGGCCGCCGAACTCTTCGGCGGCCGCGGCGGCCCCCCCTGGAGGGCCCCGCCCCCCCGGGGGCGCGCAGGCGCCCCGCGGAGGCACACCGCCGCGCCGCGGCGGGCACCGCGCGAGAGCGGCCCTCGGCGCCCTTCGGAGGCCCTCGCCCTCCCTCCTCCTCCTCCCCCTCCTCCTCCTCCTCCTCCTCCTCCTCCTTCTTCCTCTCCCTCCCTCCTCCTCCTCCTCCTCCTCCTCCTCCTCCTCCTCCTGCTCCTCCTGCTCCTCCTCCTGCTGCTCCTCTCCTCCTCCTCCTCCCTCCTCCTCCTCCTCCTCCTCCTCCTCCTAATGCCGGCTCTGCAGGGGCGGCTGGCGAGCCCTCGCGGGGAGGGCCCCCCTTCGGAGGGCCCGCGGGACCGCCTCCCGCGGCGGCGGCCGCCGAGGGCGCGCCGCTCGGTCGCCGCCGCCGCCGTCGTTGCGGCCTCCGCCGCCGCCGCCGCCGTCGCCGCCGTCGCCGCCGCCGCCGCCGCAGTCGCCGCCGCCGCCGCCGCCGCCGCCGCCGCCGCCGCCGCCGCCGCCGCGGTCGCCGTCGCCGTCGCCGTCGCCGTCGTTCGTCGAGGGCTGCCAGAGGCCAGGGGCCGCCGGGGAGCCGTGCAGAGGCTGTCCGTGGGGCCCCCGGCCTCCGTCAGGAGGGCCCCCCGCTGCTGGGGGAAGGGTGCGTCCGAGGGCCTCCGAGGGCCTCGGATCGGGGGCGCCCGCGAGGGCCGGGCCTCTTTGATCGGGGCCGTGCGAGGGCCTCCGAGAGTCAGAGGAGGGCGAGTTGAGACAACGGCAGTTGGCCTTCGGGGGCGCCCCCCCGTCGACACGGCTGGACGCAGCTCGGGAAACTTCAGGAGGGGAAAAAAAACACACGGACACAATCAATCGACGACCCCCAAGAAAATATGGGAAAATATGGGAAGTGGGAGGGAAGACAAAAACCAGAAAATATGACAAAGTATGGGGCATCGTTTTATTTGTGTGTATTTATTTGTGTGTCCTTGTGCCCCTTGAAAACTAATGCATTTGGAACCCGGGAGGGGCCTGGGCACCCATTTTGAGCTGCCGTGGTCTCAGGTCGCCCTGCTCCGAGAGAGGGCCGCGCGCGCCCGCGCGCGGCAGGTCGACTTCGGGCCGCGCCCGTTCTGCACGCTGCGCGTGGCCATCTGCGACTTCGGCATGTCGCGCTCGGTGCACGGCTTCGAGGAGCCCCTGGGCGCGGGGGCCTGGCCAAGGGCGCCGACTTTGCACATACACCTACCCTGGCCAGGCCAATCCTGGGCCCAGGTGTGTATGCCTGCCTGCCCAAGCCAGGAGGGCGCACGCACCGATCCTGGGCCCAGGACGAGCCTGGCCAGGATCGGTGCAGGTGTATGCTTGGCGCCCTCCCAGCCTGCGATCTCGCCATCTCTCGGGTGTTGCCAAATCCCGAGATCCAGGCGTTGCATTTGTTTCGCGCCGGGCAGTTTCGCTACATGTCGGGCCCCACTGGAAAAACGAAGCAGAAAGATGGGGACTAGGGCTCCGCTGGTGATTTTCCGCGACGCTCGAAGCTCAGGGCAGGTGGCCCTGGCCCAAAAGGTGTCCCCAGCTTGTCGCGCCATTTTGGAGCCCCATGGGGCCCTCTGGGCCGCGTGATGGGTGATCTTTGCGCATCCTGGGGGCGCCTTGGGCCAGGGACACCCGTGGCAGCTCCTGGACCTGGGGCGTTCCAGAAAGGACCCCGCCCTCGAGGGATGGAGGAGCTGACACCTCTTTCTCGGCGGATGGCGGGCGGGAGCAACCCAGGGGCGGCTCCCCCTGCGGAAATAAGCATCGGCCCTCAGATGCGTTGCTTTGGGCTTTCTGGGTCTCTGGAACGAGCCGCTGACCTCCTGGCATCGTGTGAGGAAGCGCCGTGCGGGGTCTTTGGCAATGTTTGGCCCATTGACCGAGAAGGAGGAGGAGGAGGAGGAGGAGGAGGAGGAGGAGGAGGAGGAGGAGGAGGAGGAGGAGGGGGAGGAGGAGGAGGAGGAGGAGGAGGAGGAGGAGGAGGAAAAGGAGAAGGAGGAGGAGAAGGAGGAGGAGGAGGAGGAGGAGGAGGAGGAGGAGCGGTTCCAGGGAAGGGGTCGAGACCTGTGGGGGGCCCACGTCGCGGGAAAGGGCACGACGTCGGGGGGGGCAGCACGGGTAGGCCCCTCAACAACAACCGACGGCGCGAGCCAGACGCCCATCGTCACCAGCCAGACGTGCACCATACCCAGACCCCCTCGAGTTATGAAAAAATCACGACGGGGGGGTTTTCACTATTTTTGGCCTCTGGGGGCCCCTACCGGCCCTCGGGACCGTCAAAAAACGACTCAGGACGAAAAACCGGTCCCGGGGAATGGGTCGAGACCTCGGGGGGTCGACGTCATGAAAAAATCATGACGTCGGGGGTCTGGGTACGTAATCAGTCCCATTGGGCCGTGCGGTAGGGGTTGCGACACAGTGTTGGCAACTATGGCCCGATACGCAGTCCGGTTTTCGCGAGTTCCCCGAGTCCGGGGCTATCGCACGTTTTTGCGTTCCGTGCCCTGCGGTCGGCCTCTGTCGCGGTGGGTGTTGAGGATAGCTCCCTTGAGGGGCAGCGGGTTCCTCCTTCTCCTCTCCTTGCTTGCCAAAAAAAACGTAATCAGTCCCACGTCATTCCCACACTCATGGGATTGCTGCTCCTTTGGCTCCAAGCTCTTCCCGGGAAGGGGGGGGGGGGGGGGCAGGTGGCGCGAGGGCCGCCTCGGCCGCGGACGCAGGAGTGGCCCAGAGCTCCCACGCCTCGAGAAGATCAGACATGGAGGCCCGTGGACTGATCGGAGGGCACCAACTATACACCAACACCGATCCTGGCCCAGGATCACCCTGGGCCCAGGATCGGTGTATATGCCTTCTTGCGCAAGGCAGGAGGGCGTATACACCGATCCTGGGCCCAGGGTTCTCCTGGCCAGGATCGGTGTTGGTGTATAGCTGGTGCCTTCCTAACTGAGGATCGAAGGTTCCGGGGGGAGGTTTCGGGGCGGGGCCCGCCAGTGGATCCAACTGCATTTCTGGGAGGTTATATTCAGCATCGGCGATGGAATATCCGTAGTCGAAACCCGGCCTACTGCAGCACGATCCTGTTCAATTCCGTTCAGCTCCGCCTGATCCGGTTTGATCCTGGGCTCAATCCGAGCTAACCCTGCTCGTATGGTCCCTTCATGTTGTGGATTCGCTTTCCATCGTTCCCACGAAGACCTCCCAGCAGTTGCCGCCTAAAGTAATGAGGTGGACGCTCCCTGGAGGCCTCTGCGCAAGAGAGCTTCCAACGCCTCCCTGGCCGAGCCGACCTGCTTTACTTCCGCCGCCCTCCGCCGGAGAGATGTGTCAACCTTTCGGTCCTTCGCAGTCGAGACCCTTTCTGCACGGGCCCAGCTTGGGCGGCCTGGATTAGCTACGCGGTCCCAGAGGTCCCGACGCCTTCCCCCGGGATATTTCTCCGATGAGGCTTGCTTATCAGACTCCACGCGCAAGCCATAGGGAACGGGTCCACTGCTCTCCATTTTCTTTTGCGTCAAACTATGCCAATGGCTTCCTCTGCTATTGCAATGGTTTCCTCTGCTACTGCATTGGATAGAGTAAAGTAGCGTAACGTGTAGACGAGAGTAGAACTGAACCGAGTAGAGTTGTATGGAATAGAGTAGAGTCGATAAGGAGGAGGAGGAAAGTAGAGTAGAGTCGAGCAGAGCAGAGCAGAGCAGAGCAGAGCAGAGTAGAGTAGAGTAGAGTAGAGCAGAGTAGAGTAGATCAGGTTATCTGTAGAGTACAGTCGGGTAGGTATAGTAGAGTCGGGATGCTAGTAGAGTAGAGTTGGCGTAAGAGTTTGGGTTAGAGTTTGAGTTTGAGCTTGAGTTTGAGTTAGATCAGAATATATTCGATCAAAGTAGAGTAGAGTAGGGTAGAGTAGAGTAGAGTAGAGTAGAGTAGAGTAGACTTCAGTAGAGGAGAGTAAGCTGGAGTAGAGCAGGAGCAGAGCAGAGTAGAGTAGAGCAGAGTAAGCTACCCACGGATTGCGGCCAGGCTCCCCCCAAGGGGTCAGCTTCTGCCCGCGACCACACGTCGCCGGCAGGCCCTCCACGCTCGAGCCACGAGCCGAGCGCCGGAGGCGAGGTGGGCGGGCGCGAGCCGAGCGCAAAGAAGAGTAATGCCTGGCTCACGACTGGAAATCCTCTCCGCCGGTGGACTCCCCTCCCTCGGCAAGAGGAGGAGGAGGAGGAGGAGGAGGAGGAGGAGGAGGAGGAGGCGGCGGAGGAGGAGGAGGAGGAGGAGGAGGAGGAGGAGGAGGAGGCGGCGGCGGCGGAGGAGGAGGAGGAGGAGGAGGAGCAGCGTACGGCAACTCAGGTTGCCCTCCCCCACCCTTCCCCCTTCCCCCCTCCTGGAGGGTGCCGTCTGGGCCGCTCATGGCGCGGTGGGCCTGGCGCCTCTCCGTCGCCCACTTCTCGAGGCCCTCGACGCCGTCGGGCGAGGTCTACCGCACCCGCTGATGGGCGACCGTCGGAGGGGGATGGCCCGCTTCGTTGGACTGGCAGCCGCTGCCGTGGCCTTTCCCGCCTCGGAGGCAGCTGGCTCTCTTCGGAGGCCTAGAGGTTGACACCAACAACAGTATCGGCGGTGTGCCTCCACCGAGGGAAGGCGATCCCGCTCTCGGTGATGGTGGTAATTTTCTGGCTTCAAGGTGACCGAAATGTTACCACCAACACCGAAATCTAGGAGCATCATCCCCTTGTGGAGGCAGCCCCCTGTGTTGGTGTTGGTGCCCATTTCCAGGCCTCCAACCAATCTTTGGCTGCTGCTTCGGGAACCTCCTCGCCAGGCCCGGCACCTCCTGCTCGGTCCCGAGCTGCCTGGGCTGCCTCCAGTATCCTCCATCCAGTGCGTTCCCTCCTCCTGCCGTCGAGGCTGCAAAGAGCGTCCTGCAGGGCCTGACTGGGCGTCTGGTGCCCCCCGAGCCTCCACTTACGTTTGGCTGGGTGCGGGCGTCGGCCCAGACTCCCGCGGTGAACGCGTCCTTCCACAGCTTGTTGATGTCCGCGCTGCCGCCGCCGCCACACCTCTCTCGAGCAGGCCAGAACGAGCTAGCCTGCCGTGGCCGGAGCTGTAGCACCTCTGGCAGACCAGCACGGTGTCGGGCCCGCAGGGATGCGCCGCCGCGCCAGCATGTGGGTCTAGAAGCTCCAGGCGTACGGCAGGTTCGTGTCGTGCCGACCCCAGCGTTGGTTTTTGACACCGCAGGGATCGTTCAACCTTGAACGATCGGCCGCTGCCGCAACGTCCGATCGTTCAACATCGATCGATTCTGGGTCGCCGGCGGCGTTCAACCTTGAACGCCCGCGCTGGGGTCGCCGCTGGTCGACACGACGCAAACCTACCGTAGGCGCCGTCCTCGCTGCTGGCTGCTGGCGAGACCTGGCGGGGGCCGCTGCTGCCGACGCCCGGCGCGGCCGCTCGGGGGGCTTCCTTGGGGGGTGGGGCGCCGGCTCCTCGCGGTCGCCCGCGTGCCCCCGTGGCAGCCGCTGCACCTGCTGCGGCCGCCACCGCCGCTGCCGCCGCCACTGGTCGAGCCCTGGCAGGAGTGCTGTCCGAAGCTCCCGCCGTCGCTGCCTCATCGATGGGCTCGTCGTCGGGGACCTCCAGGATGATGCCCGCCGCGTGGTCCCTGATCTTGTGGGCCCCCACCTGCGCGTGCAGCTTCCCTGCGAGGATTATCGCCGCCTTGGAGATCTCGGCGAGCCCGACGGCGCTGTCGAGCTGGTGGTCGGGCAGAGCTGGGCGGGCACCCTGCTTCTCGAAGCGGTCGGCGTGCTGGTGATCAGCCCTTGGCCAGTGGGCGGACGTGCCCGCGTCGATGTCGGCCTCCGTCGCGTGGCCCAGGGCCTACAAGGGCCGACCCCGCGCAGGGCGGAGCCCCAGGAGGCAGAAGAAGGGCGCGGGCCGCTTCGGGCCCAGCGCCACCCCAAGAGGCCCGCGAGCCCGAGGGGTCGGGAGGCGAAGTCGGCGCGAAGCGCAGCGACACGTCAGAGCGAGCGGCCGCGCCCCTCGCGCGGCTCAGTCACTCTCCTCCTCGCGGGGCCGCTTCCGCCGCCGCCTCTCCTCTAGGCTAGCAGCTTGGTGACGGTGTGCCCTCGGTTGCCCCCGAGGGCTGCGCAGAGCAGGCT